AAAAAGGGCGCTAGCAGCCAACCGGGCACGGACTTTTCGGGAACATGCCGGCGAGCTACCGGTATTGCGGCCAAAGTATAATGGCGAAGCTAAAAGATAAAATAAAGCTTAAATTGCACGAAAGCGCTTGGAGCGCGAAGGACTTAAAGGACCGACCCCGGGTGCCCGAAGGGGCACGAAAGAGGGGGAGGTTAAAAAAGGAACAATTTTTGTTGGCGATAGCACCTTTGGTAAGAGATTTACGGAGGCTTGACAAAGGAGACACCGCATCCGGCCCGTAACCCGGTAACCACCCGCTTCTGCACCGATTGACCCCTAACAGAGGCCTTAATTTAATAATTTATTTTTAAATTTTTAAATTATTGTATAAGCGTTGCATATGCATTGCATACGCAAAACGTATATAAAATTTATATATTTTTTATTGCTTGTTACAATCAGGCCTCTGCTCCTAAGGTAAGGCACCAGAGGAATATCGAACAGTAGCACGTAATTTGACAAACTGAGGGGATTTACAAAGTAACTTGGGTGCGGTTTAAATGCTTGCTCCAAAGGTTATTTAAAAGCTAATTAAAGTTTAATTAATGCTGAAGCTTTAATTAAAAATTACTTAAAACAGTAAAAAAACCCTTCCTTTTTATAGCCCGTTCCTTACGCTGCTTTTCCCCAAGCTTCTTAAGGAGGTAACCTATAATTTTGTCGACAAATTACAAATCACCTAAGTAATTTGTGATTTTGTTAACAGATTACGGGCGGCTTACCTAAGCTTCCCTGTGGTAAGGGGTAGGTGCTTGCTTACCCTTCGCTTCCCCGGCCTTCCGTCCCAGCCAGGTGGTTGTTGGTCGTAACATTGCTTTATTTTGTAATATACATATAATTTTTTATATTTATATTTACGTAAATATATTGTATTTATATTTATAATATTAATATATATTTATATAATTTATATTAAACGTTATTTATTAACTTATTTTAAAATGCATATGCATTGCATATGCAACGCATACGCATTTTTGCCCCCCTTGCCACCTTTGGCTGAGGTTTGGGGGTCCACTTTTCCCCACCTTGTCTGAGGTGTTCGCCCACCTTGGCTGAGCTGTCCCCTCTTCACAAACTGCAGCCGCACAGATGGGCTGACAATGGCTGAAAGCTGAGATGGCCCGCCCTTGTGGCTTGCTGCTGGCTTGGGCGCTTACTTTGCCGAATCCTGCATACCTCGGTTTCCTTAATTAGCACATCAGCATCGCACTAATTGGCAGACATACATCGGGGTTGCAGCTGAATTTACATGCTCGTCCATGCACATGCTCGGCGCACTATCCACGATGCCACGCCAGCACTTGGATAGGCACGCAGTAGCCCCCAGCCGCATTAAGCTCTCAAGATACAGACACCGGCCGAACTTTGGTCGTTTCAGGCGGCCAACGTTGTAGGCAAAATGGCGCCGCGTGCCTCAGGCCATTACAACGCGCCCTAGGATCCATGGGAACGATCACCATAGCCCGCGATGGGTCCATATGCCATAAGCTGACGGGCGTACCGGGCGAGGCTAAGGTGTTGGTGCTTGAGTTCTGGTGGGTCAACACCATCACGAAAATAGGACCCAACAAGTTCCATCGCAACATCACGATTCAACAAGGCGATCTCCCGCCACGGAACCGCATCGGTCTCGGATGACACGACGCTAAAGAACGACATAACTTACCTTTACTGCTCACATATGTGTGCATGTGTCGTAAATATTTAGATGGGTAACTAAGTACCTGGTAGTTAAAACCCATAGTGTTATCATTGAGCGCCGGTATGCATTTTATAAGACTTAGTAGGTTGTTCAACAGACTGGTATCCAGCTCGTGAGCATCCGACGATAAACAGCCCGATGAAAAGAAAATCTCTTCATAACGGCCAGCACAGCTTGGGTAGCACCGAAACAGTTCTTGGGCGCGTCCCGAAAGTAAAGAAAGCGACCCATTGTGAAGCCTGGGGCGAAAGCACCTTTCTGCCTCGTATTTGGGTAGGTAGAGGATGGAATCATAGTCACATAAACTCGGGCAGCACATTAAACAGCCCAATCTCGTCATTCGGGATCATCCGAGAGCGTCGATTGCTGCTCTTTTCTCTTTTCAAACGCGGCCTTGCCTTCCTCGGTCGTGGTGTCGATGATCTCTTCCTCGAGGCTCAGTATACCAGCCTGCGGAACCAAGTTAGCCAATGTTCACATCTTCGCCTCCACAAACTAAGTTTGTGGGAAGATTGGGGGCAGTCGTAATCAGGATGTCGCAGGCCGCTCCGGAATTAGGGCGCCTGGAGAGCTCAGTCCATACCTTATTGAACTTGCCAACAAGCTCCTCCGCCTCGGTGACGTCCAGCTCTCCGAGAACCTTGTTGACCTCATCAAGGCTACCGCTCTGTATCGCCTTCTTCATCTCGGGCGTAAAGGCCTCGAAGATGGCTGACGCCGCCTGCTCCTGCGGGTCTTGGCTTTCCTTGTCAGGGACCCGGAAGCTGAGCACCGTGCCGGGCTCGACGGCATGCAGCTGGATCTGCTCCACGCCACCACCGCCACCCTCGGCCTTCTCGGCTGCCCTCTGCTTGTTGATCTCGGCCGTCCGGACCTTGATCTTGGTATAGGTCTCCTGCACATCTTTCAAGAACACCTCTTGTGCCTGGTGGCCCGAGGTGGTGATGCGCTTGAAGAAGAGCTGGACTCCGTCCCGGCCCAGCGCCCGGCAGTACTGCAGCAGGAGCGCCTGGTGCACGCACCGCCGCGACTCGTCCTCGCGCCCGGATAGCTGCGCGTCGAACGCCATAACTAGCAGCGCGTCCGTCTCCCGCTCCGTTAGCACCTCGGGGTGCACCGTCATGAACTGCATGCTCGTCTTGTACTCGCCCGGCTTGATGGCTGCGAACTGGCGACCTGCCGGGGACGCCTCGAGCTCCTCATCGTCGCCAATAGTGGCCGCGCTCTTCTTGGTCGCCAAGGCGCCACCGGCCGAGGTGTCGAAGTCGGGGTTTAGCAGCTCCGGCTTGGTACCCGCCGACGACGAGCCTGCTGCGGCGGGCGCGGACGGCGTCGACGCCTTGTTGACGTGGGAGCTGTCAAAGCCCGTGTGGATACTCTCGCTCGTGATCTTGCTCTTCTCCTCCTTCTCCAGCTGGGCCAGCTTCTTCTCCAGCTCGGCCTGTAGGCTCTTGACGTTGGACAGGTGCTCCTCGATCTCGGCGGTTATGGCGCCGTACCTCTCGTCATGCGTGACCTTGCGCTCCTCCATGCCTTTGTTGATCTGGTCCAGGAGCGTGGCCATCATCTTGGAGTAGGTCGGCACCTCGTCCTTGTCCTCGGAGTGCACGCCAGCCGGGCGGGGTGGCAGCCTGTCGTCCTCGGCGCGCAGGCTCCTGGCGCTTTCCATGACGGCCTGGAAGGCGACCTCGACCGGGTTGCGGGACTGGGTGTCGGCGGCATGAGAATGGAGCGAGGCCAGCAGGGCGCTGATGCGCTTCATGAGGCCATCGTTGATGATGCGCTCGTACTTCAGCGTCTCGATCTCGTGCTTGCGCCTCGCCCTCTCCATATGGATCTGGTTCTGCTTGGCACGGATGAAGGACCGCTTGTCCACATTGGGGTGCACCTCGATGTCCGAATCATCGCTGAGCTCGAGGGCATCCTGCGGGATAGAAGCAAGGTACAGTGGTCAGTTTGTTTCCGTGGGTGGTGCGTGCTTGGGGGTGTGATGTGTGCCACGGTGGAGGTGCATACCCATTTACTGTAGTCCAGGGGCATTTTTGCTGCCTTTCTCGTTCCCTCGCTATAGGTAGATAGGGAGGCAGGTGGTTCGAGGATTGAGGTTGGTTGTGTATGTACCCCAATTCAGCGTGAATGTCGTGCTGGACTTTGCGATATTATTTGGTGGAGTGGGCTGTCACGACAGCCTGGGCGGGCTGTAGAATGTTCTCGAGCTCGACGACAGCTCTTGAGCGGCGCTGTCGCGCCCCATCAATTCCATTTCATCATCGGGCTCTGTTGCCGCCAGTTGGCGGGGTCGGAGTGGGGGTCGCTGCATGCCAGACAGGGGTGAGATGGTTGGCGGCGGCAGGCACACAGGCAGCAGGCAACCAGAAGTGTATCGCCACAGGTCATCGTGCATGCGCCTCGATCCCACCTAGCACTGCTGCATCACACACGTCTTGACTGGAAGAATCGGTATCAGAATACGATTACTTTTAACACCCTCAACTCCCATCTACCTTGGTCCTCGGCAGGTGAGGTAGGTAGCAATGCATCGCCGGCTCGCAAGCGCTAAAAGCAGGGCACAACCATTCCCCCACCGAATTTGACTGTGAAAAATGGGCACAGAGGGTAAAGAGGCCAAACAGGCCCGAGTTGGGGATGCCATTTTCTTCGACGTCTCCTTCTCACGTCAAACAAGATGGGGGGGAATGAAGGGGAAAAGAAATAAGCACAAATATCGACAGACCTCGCTCGCCCAAGTCCAAACTCCTGCCATGATTTGGGAATAAACGGTACACCGATAACACTGGAAATAAAGCCCCCCTCCACTGTCCCAGGGGGCAAGTCGAAAAGAAGATGAGTTGGGTTTCTATCCTGCTCGCCACCTGGGCCACAAAATACCATCGCACAAGTACTTTGGGCGTCATCTGTCGCCCATATTCGATACATGATCCAGACGGACTCGCTGTCAACGATGAGCGCGGCCATGCTGGCCTGCCTTGGAGGCTCAGGAGACAGAAATAGTGATGGTGGCCCGCGAGAGGCCGAGCAGATGGAACACACCCTTAGTCATGCCTGGTTGTGTAGGAAGCATGTCGGTTACTGCATCGTCTTGAGGAAGCCGTCCAAGTCGAAGCTCTCCTCGTACTGGCGGTTGTCCCACAGTTCGCCTAGGTCCTCGAGCCAAGGTGCCTTCTTGCCTGGCTGCCGAACGTCGCCCGTCTCGACGTCCACCATATCCTCCTCTCTACCGTCCATACCGCTGCCCTCCGGCTTGTCGCTGATCAGCCCAGGGCCCGAGTCGCCAAGATTGAAGAGGTCCAAAATCTGGTCCGTGTCCATGGTCGCCAATCCGGCGTTCTGCTGGTTGACCACAGTCGACGCAACGTCGATCTTGAACCGCTGCAGGCTCAGAATCTTTTCCTCGAGCGTGGCCCGCGTGATCAGCCGATACACGTTGACCACCTTCTTCTGACCGATTCGGTGGGCGCGGTCCATGGCCTGCAAATCTCTTTGCGGGTTCCAGTCGTGCTCAACAAAGATGACCGTATCGGCTCCCGTCAGGTTCAGGCCGAGACCACCAACACTGGTCGTGAGCAGCAGGACATCGAACGAGGGATCGCTATTGAACTTGTTCACAATATCCTGCCGCTTATTGGCCTCGACCGAACCGTCAAGCCGAAGAAAGGAGACCGAGGGCAGCAGTTTCTTCAGCACAGTGTTCTGGACCATGTCGAGCATCTCCTTCATCTGACAGAAGATGAGTGCCCTGTGCGGCTTGATGGGCTGGTACAGTGGGTCATTGGAGTCGGTGCCTTCCACGCCGATTCCGCAGTCGACGAGCAGGTCCCGCAGCGCGCCGAGCTTTGGCGCGTGAACGTGGTCTTCGAGGCTGGTGCCTTGCTTGGCGAGGATCCGCTGCGTGTCCTCGTACAGCCTATGCCCAGGCTTCATGACGAGGGCGGGTGAGTTGCACAGCTTCCGCATATACTGCAGCGCTTGGAAGATGTGTTGCTTGGCCTCCTTGTCTTCACGTCCTGCCTGCTCGGCAATCTTGCTCGACTCCCTCTTCTGGAAATCCTCGAACAGCTTCTTCTGTAGGTCGCTCAGATCGCAGTAGTAGTTTTGCAGAATCTTGGGCGGAAGGTCGTTGAGAACCTCCTCCTTTAAGCGTCGGAGCAGGAAGGGCAGGACTTGTTTGTGAAGCGCTTCGATAGCAAGCGCGCCGGCTTCTTGCTCTTTCGAGGATGCCTTGCTGTAGCGACTCGCGGCAATGGGCTTGGCAAACCGGTCGAGGAAGACCTTTTCCGCACCGAGGAACCCAGGCATCAGGAAATCGAAAAGCGACCACAGCTCCAGCACGTTGTTCTGGATGGGTGTGCCAGTCAAGATTAAGCGGTGGTTGCTGGCGAGTTTCTTGACAGCGATCGACGTCTTCGCTTTGGGATTCTTGATGAGATGTCCCTCGTCGAGCACGACATAGTTCCAGTTGTACTTCTCGATGATCTCGATATCGTTCCTGCATACGTCGTAGGATGTGATGACGATGTCCGCCTTGTCGAGTCGATCCCTGATCAACTTCCTTTCAGCCGGGGGTCCGACGTAGGCCGCCACGCTGAGGAACGGCGCGTATGTCTTTATTTCTTGCTGCCAATGCCCCGAGAGAGTAGGTGGGCACACTATCAGGGACGGCATCCTCCTCACGTCGGGCGCACCCGTCTTGGCAAACTCTTCTGCGCGCTGATGATGGTCGCTGGCGACGATGCAGATAGTTTGCAGAGTCTTTCCTAGACCCATGTCATCACAAAGGATGCCGTGAAGATGGTACTTGTTCAGGAAATGCAGCCAGTTCACACCGTCCTGCTGGTACGAGCGCAGCTCAGCCTTGATGGCGACAGGTATGTTGAACGGTTCCACCTTCTTGGGATCTAGCAGCTGTGAGATAAAGGTTCGCTCGCGGTCTCGGCCCTTGAGAAGTTCCTCGGAAAGACCAGGCGGGTCGGGGATGCCGGCCTCTAGCGGAACCAGCTTGACCAGAGTGGCAAATGAGGTTGTGGCTATCAGGCGGACTTCGTTGTCCGAGTCGCTCATGCGACCAAGAACTGGCACAATAAGGAAGATGACATAGGGCAGGATGGCATCGCCCATGACGGCAATCAGGTGGTAGATGACCTCAATGGCACCCTGGCGGAAATGGAGATCCACCGGGTTGCTGATGGACGGCAGCACCTTTTCGACCAGGGCCGTCATACCCTCCACAGTGATAACGCTGCAGATGGTGGCCATGCACTTTGCAGCCATGTAGCGGAAGACTGAGAGCTCCGAGTGCAGTGCCTTGATCACGAGGGGCACCATCTGCATAACGAAGGGACGCAGAGCTGTATCCAACGTCGGACACAGGGTTCGGATGACTGACATGGCATCCACGATTTCCTGTCCGAACGTCTGCTCGGGATCTCTCGCGTCGGCCGGCAGCTCTCCCGAGAACGCCTTGATGAGCGGCTCCTCCATGTATCCGCGGAGACTGGGCACGATGGTGAGCAGGTCGGGGCCAAAGGACTTGGAGAGAATCTCGAGCGCCTCTTTGGCGCCACGACGCGTGATCCGGGCGGCCTTTGCCTCGCGAGCGAACTTAGCGGCGTCGGCGTGGTCCACTCGGTCCTCTTCTTTCTGCATCGACAGAACCACGTTTGTCTTGGCAGAGTGAATGGGGAACTCGGGGGTCTCTGCGACCTCAACGCACGAGAACTTGACCAGATTGGAAACCACCTTGTCGGCAGGTCCGCGGCGCCCACCCTCCGTGAACAACCGGACAAGTGTTGCAATGGTGCCGGACGAGCGGAACTGTAGCTCCTGATTCTCATCCGTCTTGAGCGAGTCCATGATAGACTTGATCAGCGGGCTGGGCTTCTTAGGGAGAGCCTTGAGCGCCACGAGGGCGCAGCCGGCCGCGGCCTTGATCCGGACGTCGCGTGCGTCCTTGGCTGCCTTGGCCTCTTGGATGGCGGTGGCGGTCAGCTCCCGGGCCTCGGTGAGCTGCGGCACGGCAATAAGCCGCTGGCCTGGCGCCATGGCTCTCTTGAGCTTATCGAAGTCATCGCCAATCACCTTTTCGGCGTTGGCGACTGAAAAGGCACCTGGACCGGCTTCGGCCTCTCCCTGTACGACGACGGCGAGCACGGGAAGCTTGCTTGGAGCCACCTTTCCGTGGTCACGGAAGAGTCCAATAAGCTGCTGGCACTGAGAGCGAACACGCTGAACGTAACTAACGAGGTCGCGGTAGTGAGAAGGCCGTTCAGTTAGCACCATCTGCGTTAGCGGCGCCTCAAACCTGGCGGCTTGCTTGCAGTCGGCGCAGTTCTTGGCATACTCGTCAACCACCATACAGGCGGTCAACTGGGTGGTTGAGTATGCCGACGAGAAGGCCGAGGTGATCAGCGCATCAAAAGGTCCCAGGTACGGGACCGGGATTAGCGCCATGATCAGGCCCATGGCCTTGGCCGCGGAGATCCTGGACCGAACGAGGACTTCGTTACCGACCAGGTCTACATCTCCCTGCATCATTGCGCCGTCAACGTCATGCGTGTGTGTTGTGACGGGGGCGTCGTCGACCTTAGTGGACTTGCGCCGGCGCTTTGTCGCCCGCTCTCCAGATTCGGGTGGACTAGACCGCCGAGCTGGGGGTGCCGGCAGGCCGGGCATGGCGTAGGTCCCGCCCGACGGCTTGAGGAACAGAGTCGCGTCCATGGGAATCGGCTGGCGCGAGACGCCAATCGGATGGAGGGTCAGCTGCATCAGGGACTCGACATGGGCACCAAACTCCATGGCCAGAGCGGCAGGGTCCTTGGCCAGGCATCGGACGAGGGACGTCCACAGCTCAATGGACTTATTCAAGGTTTCCACATCTCGTTCGACCAGGATGTTCTGGAAGATTAGCCTCAGTATCCTTCCGTTGAGCCAGCCGTAAGACGTCTCGGCGCCGAGGTTTGCAAAGGTCATGAGGGCCTTGAGCACGGCAAGGCGGACTGATGTGATGGTGTGGCGGAGGAATGGGTAGAGGCGCGGCACAAGGAGGGTGAAGGACCGCTCCTCATCCTGCTCGGCCGAGGCCTTCATGGCGCTGAGAACCTCGGGGAAGCTGCAGAGGATTGCCAAGAGGTCCATGATCTTGCCCGTCGAGGCACTGAGATCGTCGCCGAGACTTGATAGGCTTTCCCACACTATGTAGATGAGATCGTCGAGGGAGCCAGGCCTCATGGTCACAAACTCCTTGGCCATGGGGATTAGAGTGGCAGCGCTGACAGCCCGCACGTCATCGTCCTGATCACCGAGCCCCTTCATGACGGCGCGCGCAACGCCATCGATCATGTCGCCGTCTTTGAGAAGCAGGTCCTTGCGCACAGCCACAACGTACCTGAGGCCGACCATGCCTCCATGGCAGATGGCCCAGACGTGGCGGTCGAGCTGGAGGTCTTCCTGCATCACCATGCGGTGCAGGATCGCGTACACGGCGTGGACGGATTCGGGAGGGACGTGGAAGAGGACAGATCCCAGCGTCTGGCCCACGGTCTCGCGGATGGGCGCCACCGACGTGTCAGAGCTGTAATCGGTGAATCTGTCAAGCATGAGCACACAGCACAGGCGGCAGGCGGCATCGTCCAGCCACGCTCTGTTCAACTCGTTGTTCTCATGGCGAGCCTTGCCGCTCAGTCGACCAGCGCCGCGGCCGTGGACTCGTATTATCTCGCGGAGCCCCATGGCCGCGCCGTGGCGCGTCTCCCACTGCGGGTCGAAGATATCCACCTTGAGGAAGTCGCACAGCCTCTCAAACGGCCACTCGGAGCCCTCCATGGTATCCTCAGCCTCCAATTCCGATTTGATGGGAATTATGGGCCCCTTGAACTCGGAGACCACCTTGGTATCCTCATCTACGTCGTCCGGGCGGTCGAGGCTGAAGTAGTCGTTCATCTTGCCATTCGCCTTGGGCTCGCCTTCGGCCATGGGGGTCTCATCGACGAGGCCCTCGGAGCCTGTTGTCGTACTGCGGCGCAGCGACAGGTCACCAAATCCGGCTTTGCCTTGAACCGCCTTCTGGGCCTCGCGTTTGCGTTTCCTCTTCAAAACGTTAAGTTGCCTGGCGCTTAGTCCGCTAGCCTCGGCCGAATGGCTAGCCCCGGAGCTGCCATTTGCGTCGTGTTTCCCGAGGCCGTTGGCGCTCGACTCCATGGCGGTCATTGGACTTGGAGCGTTCTCCGTCTGGACGGCCACCTCGTCATCTTCGACCTTGCGCCCTAGTAGCCCCAGCCGGCCATCTAGAGTCTTCTTTAGATGAGTAAGGCGGGCCTGGGGATCCAGAGCGGCCAGAGCGAAATCGACATTGGCGCCCCGTACTAGCTCTCTCCCATACTTCAGGATGTTCTCGACAGGGAAGTGCTCTAGGCGGAGAAGGCCTGGCTGCGAGGGAGGCGCAACGTCCTTCTCCTCTTTCTTCACGATATCACTCTCATTAGGCTGGTCCTCCTTGCCAGCCAGGAGGGTCCCGTCGTCCTCGTTGGGATCGTACGCCTGGGCATTTTCCAAGATCTTGCCCAAGGCCTTTGCTGCCGTGCTTCGCGTCTCCCAATCCTTGTGGCGAAGGTATGGGACGACTCTGGAGAGTAGATTAAAGAGCTCTTCGGGGTGCAACTTCTGCCAATCAGCAAGCTGGTTGACAGCAGTCTCCCGGATCAGCCGGGTGCTGCCAGTCTCAAGGATCCTGTCAAGTAAAACAACGGTTAGATCGCAAGGCCGGGATGCCACTACTGATAGATGCCAAGCAGGATGGGAGGTGCAGGCAGTCGATTATAACTCACGTGACGAGTCGGTCAAGTCTATAGCGCAAAGGTCAGCATCTCGCGTCTCTCGCCGCTTGGGAATTCAGGCATGGATGATTGCTCACCTAGAAGCCATGTTTGCTTCATGTCAATGGTAGTGGTTGGTTCGGGTCACAGGGCCGTGGCGCCCATGTTATTTATGCCTGTCCAAATTGAGTAAGCCCTGCTGTTCTATCCTCCTATCCCTTGGCAGGACGAGAAACTAAGCCAGGGTGCAGTCCCCGTCTGAACATGCGGGCATTGCCCCTACACCCAAAGCCATCTACTACGCCTGGCAGGCAAGGCGAGTCTGTCGGGTCAAGTAATCAAACGGGCCGTTTCTCCTTGAGGGACTAGAGTAGTGGTGGAAAGACTTGGCAGCAGAGCTGGAGGCTGTGCAACAGAGTGAGGTGCTGCACGTCGAGAAACGACTTGGAATTGGGTGGCGCAAAGGAAGGGGTAGAAGTTGTGTAACTGAGAGGTGGGAGAAGGTGGTACCCTGTTTGTGTGCGGATTCTACTCGCACTATTACAGACAGGTTGCACGAGATGCAAGGTGAAGGGCGCCTGCAGATGCAAACAGGAGGGGCACAGGTGGAAAGAGGAGGAGCGCATTAAGGTGATACAATTCCGGAGGCAGTTGCGATGGAGTGCCACACCAGGCCAGGCACCTTTGGGGGTTTCAGACTTACAAATTCGAAAATGTTGCGAATAAGCAATCTGATAGCCAGCGTGAGACCGACTGAGAGGACGCAAGCACCTGGGAGGTGGATGTGGCGAGGACGGAGGGCTGGAGCAAGTCCTAGTCCTGCCTTCGCGCCTGCCGGGCTGCCACGGGGCAGGGCAAACCAACAAGACAATTAAAAGTGACCAGCTGTGCGACGAGGGTAGCGTGGCCGGATTAAAGGTGATAAGAAGGACAAATGGCGGGGAGAATAGAAATGTTGGTGGATGGCAGCGACGACAGGAGTGGGCAAACACCAGGAATTGCCGTGTAGGGCAAGTGGATGCGGATGGGAATAGCCTCGTCGGTCGGGAAATTCAAATGGAGCTAATCAAGTACCGCCGTGGTTGGTGGACCCGCTTTGGCGTGCAGGCGGGGCGTGGTGGGCAGCTCGAATCAGGAAGCGCCTGGGGAAAATGTGACTGGCGCGAGATTGGATGCAAAGCGCGGGGACGGGACTCGAAACCATGCAAATAAAGCCTCACAGTTCAGGCACCAAAGCCGTGGCCTCGGTTGTGCGCGGGACTGGGCTGTCGAGTGCGTGCAAACGTGTGGTTGCCTGCGGTGGGCTGGGGTGGGCGACTTGGCGGCTGGTGACGGAGCGAGCAGGCAGGTGGAAAATCGGGTGGAGGGCAGGCCGGCCTTTCTATATGAGTATCCCATATTTTTATACACGTCTGGCCCAACGGCTTCTCCCTGCTGGCGCCTGCTCTCGCTTATTCGGTTAGCGCCATTTTCGGACTGCCTGGAACCCCTGCAATCCCTGTCGCTGCCCCATGTCCAAATCTCCTCGCCGCCTTGTGTCTTTGTCGCCCTATTCTCTACCCTTGGAACGGAGACACGGTACCAGAGAAGCCCTCTGGAGACTTTTGTGTTTTCTTTTATTCTTCTTTTTTCCTTTTCTTTTTCACTTTTCTCTCTCGCCAGAGTCGACGGGAGGTGATCTCGTCATTCTGGCCCCCATGTACCCACTACTGGCCTTGACGTAAATAACCCAAAACTGCCTTGGTCCCACCCTATTTTTTCTTCCTCATATGCGACGCGCCAGTTCTGCTACGTCGGCTCGACCGCGATGGAATGTTCGTTGTCTACGTATCTTTGCCAGCATCCTCGGCAGGTTCGCGACACTTGTGTCAGCGGATCTCTCCCGTGGACAGGCTGACTGTCGCTTGGGATTTCAGGCGCGGGGATGCGCTCTTGGCTGCACCAAATGGCAACCTCCGAGAGAGAAAGGGTTGTGGCTTGAGCGGGCGCACGCCACCGCAGGACGGGATGGTGCGCTCCAGTATGCTAAGCTTGCAGCATGTACAATACGTATGTACCGATGTCTAGATTGCACGGATGTCCCACACTCCACTGGACAGGTTTGCAGGTACCGACCGATCCTTGGGCGCAGACAATGACTTTCCCTTTCCATCGGGCTGATTTTCGCATGGCCGCCGCGACGGGACCAGCGGGTTCTCCATTTGCCCTTGTGGTTTTTTTTTTTGTTCTCTTTGTTTTTTCATCCTTTACATTTTTCATCCTCTTCGTCTTTTATTCTTCTCGCTTTCTTCCCCTTCCCATTCACTACCACTATTGCAAATCTCTTCAGCTGTTGTCCCTTGGGGTGCTCACGGTGAATCTTGCAGAAGCTCTGATGAACCACAACACGCAAACCACAGCTCGGTGGCTGGGAATGAGTTTCGGGGCAGGCAAGATGATGACAGGTGTATGGCCTCGTTTGTAGGTGACATCCACGATGGAACAGAATTCCACCACTACTTGCAGGGCCCGTTCCCCTCCGCAACCACGGCGACAGAGGACAGAGTAAGGCAAGGGACAAGGAAAAATCAAACGGATGTCGCCGCGGGTCAATGCGTCGGCAACCAACAGCAACTTGGTAGCGCCCTGGGCCAGCCAACTTCCATGGCATCTGGGCACCACGTACCCTGGCCTGCCGTCCGGTACCCACAACGTAACGCCAGCAATTCGTAGCCTGCCCTCGCATACCCCAGGAGACAGGATTCCCGATGTCCAGGCTTGTTTGCCACAACACTATGGCCAGCCAGTGCTGCCTGAATAGAAGTGCACTTTCTTCGGGTGTTTCCATCGTTCGGTTGATCAAATCAGGGCAAAACTGGAGGGCTGGGGTTGGTTGGTGATTAAAGCATCGCACATGCTTCCTGTCCATTCATCTCATCTTGGGGGCCTTGAAGCCTTGACAAAGATCGGAGGAAAATGACAGGGAGCGTGAGGCCAGGCATATTGGTAACGGAAGTAAAAAGTTCAAAACAAACCTTGAGCGAAGAACCATGCAAGCCGGTTCAGGCCTCAGCCGGGAAATCCACGGGGATATACCTCGCGTGCTCACATCTGTCGTCTGAGTTGGTCCTGGCCCCTTCGCCCGTCACACCTCGTAAACAACAGACTTGCGCGGCTCATAGTTCTGCAGAGGCTCACTCCCTCACTCCGAGTCCCACTCGAATCTGAGCGTGCCATTTTTGCCTTTTCGAGCCCAGAGCTCCCAGGGCGTGTTGCAGTCAAGGCTGTTTCGCCGCGACGCCATGGCCCACGTGATGGCGCCTTGTATCGCTGACCGTTCCAGTGCACGTGCCACCACACACGATGACATGCGCGGACCCGCCCAGCTAGCGAAGCTTGATGTGGATACCGGACAATTCGTCGCGACGGACGCGTCGTGTCTTCCCCTCCAGCCCTCAACCGTGGCAGATGCGCCAGACTGCAGACTACGGCCCCCAGTCTGAATCTTGCCGCTGTGAGCTTCTCCCGGCCTCGTGGGAAAGAGAAGCTGGGTCCCCTGAGCTCAATCGCCTGTTTTGCGTGCTGCCGCGACCGCAGCAGCAGCCGTCGCAATCATGTTCATAAAACAGATCATCATCCAAGGCTTCAAAAGGTAGGTCCGGCAAGGATGGTGCGATTGCGCAGGGCTGGCCATTGCGCCCGCGCAGGTTCGCATGTGCGAGTGCTGACGGCCCTCGCCTCCGGAAACAGCTACAAGGAGCAGACCGTCATCGAGCCCTTCTCGCCGGGCACAAACGTCATCGTCGGACGAAATGGCTCCGGCAAGAGCAACTTCTTCGCCGCGATTCGCTTCGTGCTCAGCGATGCATACACCCAGATGAGCCGCGAGGAGCGCCAGGCGCTGCTCCACGAGGGCTCCGGCTCGGCCGTCATGACCGCCTACGTCGAGATCATCTTCGACAACACCGATGACCGCTTCCATACCGGAAACAAGGAGGTTATCATCAAGCGGACCATTAGTCTCAAGAAGGACGAGTACTCGATCGACAGGAAGGTCGTCCAGTCACGAAACGAAGTCTTTAGTCTGCTCGAAATGGCCGGGTTCTCGCGCGTCAACCCCTACTACATTGTGCCCCAGGGCCGTGTGACGGCCTTGACAAACATGAAAGAGTCGGACCGTCTCAAGCTGCTCAAAGAGATTGCGGGTACTGAGAGCTATGAGTCAAGACGCACAGAGTCGCGCAAGATCATGGCAGAGACCATCAACAAGCGGGAAAAGATCGATGAGCTGCTCAAGGACGTCAAGGAGCGCCTGACGGAGCTCGAGAAAGAAAAAGAAGACCTCCGAAATTTCCAGGTCAGCGACCGGGAACGCCGATGCCTCGAGTACGCCTACAACTTCTACCACCAGCAGACTCTCACCGAGACCCTCGAGAGTATCGAACAGGCTCGCTTGGGCGCCGATGGAAGCAGCGAGTTCCAGCAGGCGCTGGCGGAAAACGAGAAGACGATTGCTCAACTCGAAGACAGGCTATCTCATCTTCAGCGGTCCATCGGAATGTCCGAATCAGAGAGGGGAAGCTTGGAGAAGGAGCGCCGCGAGGCATCGTCGACCATGGCAAAAGTTGAGCTCAGGCTGAGGGAACTGTCCCAGGTTCAGAGTACCCAGCAGGAGACAAAAAAGGAGCGTGACGGGGAGCTGAAGGCCGTGAGGGCTGCCATCAAGTCAAAAGAGGCTGAGCTCGCCAAGCTGATTCCCGAATACACCAAGAGGAAACAGAAGGAGGACAAGGTCAAGCAGCAGTTCGAAGCCGCCAAGGCCGCTCGCGAGCGACTGTATGGCAAGCAGTCGCGCAACTCCCGGTTCAAGACCAAGGCCGAACGCGACGCTTATCTACAAGAAACGATCAGCGGTCTCAACCTTTCGCTCACGACCCACAAGGCGAACCGCTTCGCCGTGGAAGAAGACATCAACGAGACGAAGGCGGCGATTAAGAACCTGGAGGCTGAGATCTTGCGCCTGCGGCAGGACCTCGATTCGCGGGTTGGTCGCAAAACGGAGTTGGACACGCAGCTCAGGGAGGCCACCGAACAACTGGACACGCTCAATGACGAGAGGCAGGAGCTACGGCGAGAGTATGGGAAGCTCGATGCCAAACTTACGAGTGCCAGGAAGCAGAAGGAGAGGGCCGACTCAAGGCTTGCGCAAGTCATGGATGGGTCGACGGCACGCGCCCTTGACACGATTGCGCGGCTGAAGAGAAAGCATGACATCCCAGGCGCATACGGCATCCTAGCGGACCTGATGGAGGTCGACGAGGCATATCGGATCCCTGTCGAGCAAGTGGCCGGAAACAGCCTGTTCCACTACGTAGTGGACAACAAGGAGACTGGCACGATGCTCCTCGAGATGCTGGACAAGGAGAGAGGTGGCCGCATCACCTGCATGCCGCTGGCTCAGCTGCGGCCTAGGGCCGTCAACATGCCCCGAACCAACAGCGCGTTTCCCCTTCTCCAGAAGATCACGTTTGACGGCGAGTACAAGAAGGCGTTTGAGCAGGTGTTTGGGAAGAGCGTGCTTTGTGCGTCTCGTGACGTGGCCACGCAAATCTCGCGGACCCACAACGTCGACTGTGTCACGATGGATGGCGATACGACTTCGAAAAGGGGCGCTGTTAGCGGCGGTTATACGGACCCAACAGCATCCCGTCTGAGCTACGTTCGTGAGGTCAATCGACTCAGGAAGGAATTCGAGGAGCTCCAGTCCGAATCGAACACGGTCGGCAGGCAAATCGAAGTCAAGGGTCAGGAGATCACCACGGCGCTGGGCCACCACAGGAGGCTTGAGGAAGAGATGCGTCGCCTTGACGGAGACTTCAGGAGCAAAGATAGCGAGCTGGCCTTCAGGCGGTCAGAGCTCTCTAACAAGAGAAACCATCTCGAGACGGTCACCCAGAGTCTCGAGACGGTCGACAGTGATATGAGAGGATTTGACGAGAGTCTATCGGCACTCGAGGCGGAGCTGAACAGTGATTTCAAGAAGGCGCTGACAGCGCAAGAGGAAGAGCAACTTCAGCTTCTTGGAGAGCAGGTGACGGAGCTTGGGATGCAGCTGGGAGACTGCAGTAAGAGGCGTGGCGAGTTGGAAAAGAAGAAGCAGATTCTGGAAAACGACCTGAACCAGAACCTGCGGCGCAAGGAGGATGAGCTCACCGGTCTGGCGCGCGAAGACGCTACAGCGCCCGCCAGCAGCATGGGAGGCGCGGGCAGCTATGATGACGCGCTCAAGCAGCAGAAGAAGCTCCAACGCAAGATCGCGTCGCTCGATGCCGCGTTCCAGGCGGCTGAGGTCAGCATGGAGGAGGCAGCGACCGAAGCGGCAAAGCTCGAAAAGGAAAAGCAAAAGAAAGAAGAAGAGCGCGACGAGCTCAAGGCGCTAATCGAGAAACTGCAGAAAAAGCTCGAGAAGGGATTGCAGAAGAAGGCGCTCATCACCTCGCAGATTGCCGAGTTCGCCAAGAACATTCGAGACCTTGGAGTTCTGCCTGAAGAGGCCTTTGACAAGTACGAGCGGATGGAGCTCAAAAGGGTTCGTATATTGTTTTGTCTCTGCCGTATAGACGTTTGACTTGCCGCTGACACTGCTTCTGGAACAGATTGAGAGTAGGCTCGCCAAGGTCAACGATAACCTGAAGAAGTACAAACACGTCAACAAAAAGGCGTTTGAGCAGTACAATAGCTTTACCACACAGCAGGAGCACCTGATCAAGCGGCGCAAGGAGCTCGACTCGTCCAAACAGTCCATCGAGGAGCTGATCAACCACCTTGACCAGAAGAAAGACGAGGCCATCGAGCGCACATTCAAACAGGTGTCGCAGGAGTTCAGCCGTATCTTCGAGCTGCTGGTGCCCGCCGGCCAGGGTCGGCTCGTGATTCAGCGCCGCGCCGACAACCGACCTGTCGAGCAGGATTCCGACGACGAGCAGCGGCACACGGTGGAAAACTACGTCGGCGTTGGCATCAGCGTGTCCTTCAACTCCAAGGTCTTTGACGAGCAACAGAAGATCCAGCAGCTGAGTGGTGGCCAAAAGAGTGCGTCATGTCTTCGCCCCGCCCCATTGCCTGAAACAAATGTGGCTGCTTGCGTATTAACACGAACTCGTCTTCTCTACAGGTCTATGTGCGCTCTGCCTAATCTTCGCCATCCAGCAGACCGAGTCAAGTCCAATGGTTGTGTTTGACGAGGTCGATGCCAACCTTGACGCGCAGTACCGGACGGCCGTGGCCAGCCTCCTGGACTCGATATCCAAGGAGCACAGCACGCAGTTCATCTGCACCACCTTCCGGCCGGAGATCGTGCTCGTTGCAGACAAGTGCTACGGAGTCACTTTCACCAACAAAACTAGCGCCATAGACTGCGTTCCCACCGAGGCGGCCTTGAGCTTCGTTGAAGGGCAGCAAAAGAGGTGATGTGGGAAGGAAATGCCGCAGCAGGCGGCGGGGTTCTTTCCGTTGTGTAGAGTCAACGCGTACATACATACGTCTGCCATGGATTCCTGTTTTATTTGCTTGGGCTGGGACGGGGTGGAGTTGTTGGCCACTTCACGATGATACCGATTTGGTTGGCGCCGGGGAGATTCAGGATCTCATCCATTACTTTTTTTTCTTGGAGCCTGACTTCCGAGGTCACATTTTTCTCATAGTTGTCCCCACTTTTATCTATGTATGGGCTGTATATTCTGCGCGTTCCTCGTCATTTTTGCCTGCACAGAGGCCGCCTCGACGTGTGAGAGTTTCGTGTGCGATACTGCACCCACACACCGAGACGCATCTATCTCCCTTGGTGCTGGATAGATGGGTACCAACCTGCCTAACTGGGTGTCTATGTCTGTAACTAAATCCCTCGGACGCGGGCCTGGTGTCGTGCTGTGGAACATCATGTCCAAGGACGTGGCTGGGGCTGATGCGCGGAAGGTAGGGGTTTTGCGGCCGGTAGTGAGATGGCAGAAGATAAGGAATATTTGACAATAACTGACGAGAATGTGAAAAGAATCAGGAACGAAGATGGGTCAATAATATGACGGGGCAGGAACTGGGGGTGCATGAAGGGGAAAAGAAGAAGGATGGAAAAAAAGGAATAAATATGTGGTATGTGGGTAACCAGCGCATGGAAACCAAATGGCGGACCATAATTAACGAAGCGTGAAGCCATCAAACCGAGGTACCAAAGGGCGGCCAACCGTGTCGTGGGAACGAGGGTGACTCTTTCACTCCTCCTCGGACACTTCCGACTCCTCCGACTCGGACTCCTCCGCCTCGTTGTATCCGTCGAGCTCTTCGGCATGGCCCTGCTCGCCCATGCCCTGCCCCTCGTCCGCCCGACCCTGGCCGGCCTCGTCGTCGTAGTCGTCGTCGTCGTCGTCACAGTCGTCGGTCGTGGCCGCCGCCGCTTCCTTCTTCTTGTGCTGCCTGCGCGTGACGCCGTGCAGCCTGTCCGAGATGTCGCGCAGCTGCAGCAGCTTGACCGCCCGCGCCGCCTTGGCCTCCTTGCGCTTGCGCTCGAGCTCCTCGCCCGCCTCCCTCTCGGCGCGGCTCTCGCGCAGCGCCAGGCCGCGCTTACCCTGCTGCGTCTGGCGCACCCACTCCTCCCACTCCTTCCTCGACTGGGGGCCGCCATCACCACCACCACCACCGCCACCACCACCACCGCCACCACCACCATCGACATCCGGGTCCGGGTCCGGGTCCGCGGCGTCCACAAGACCCTGGCCGATGGGCCACGGCCCCTCGAGCTCGGTGCGGACGACTTGGATGCACAGGTGGGCAAAGTCGAGGGCCAGGCCGTACTCGGGCCGGTTGTGCAGGTCGAGCGTCAGGTCCTCGTGGGAGGCCACGTCGATCCCCCGCGCGCGCGCCTCGCGGAGCGGGTTGGGCCCGCCGTCGGCCGGCTCGCGGGTCTCGGTGCCGATGAGGGCCGCCAGCGTGCGGCAGCCGCAGCC